TGCCAATGAGACAACTCTCCATCCAAGTCAAAATTTATGAAAGTAAACCATTATAGGTCAAAGTACGGTCTTCAACACGGAGCCTTGGCTCACACCGAACAGTAAGCTATAAAGGGCCCCAAAAATTACTAGTGTAAAACATGTATTTTATACATTATCGGTAATTTGCTGTGAAATTAGTTACTTTTGAAATTGTAAAATATAAGTAAAATTTACTTTAATGATTAACTTCATTTTTGGATTTCAGTGATATTTATATGAAATATTTATACTACCTACGAACGTAGAACCATTTTAAAGAATTGCTTTTAATTTCAATTATTAGACATGAATGCAAAATTATATTTTCGAATGAAAATGGGGAATTCCAAAATTTCTGTTTTGAAACCACAAAAAAACTTTTCTTAAAACTCATACGATGCTTTGGTAATGGTTGGCTAGCCCCTTGAGTATCACTTGTTAATTCCAATTTGGCAAATAAACCAAACAGGAAATCATCTATAAAAAAGTGTGTTCAAAGATTTCATGAGGTATTCGATGTTTGCTATACCAGAATCATACCACGTTTCACTTAAACGCATATTTCATGGCAGTGAGTACCACTGACACTAATCAGAAAGATTGCTTTGCAGTATGTTCAGAAATTTTGTTGCCAGTATACACTTTGTGTATATTATTATCGTATTACTATTAAAGGTGTCCCGATTTCCTCCGTATCTCAACTGTTTGTGTGATATGGAGGTATTATTTAATGTATGACATTATCATATTCATATGGTGGCCGATTAAAGCCATTTCGCGTTTTCGTCTTTTCGCCTTTCATATTCTAAAGGGCGAAAATGCGAAAACGCGAAGTCGAAAACGCAAAGTCGAAAACGCAAAATAGTTTCCATGACTTCTCAATTTCACGTTCGCGTTTTCGCAATTTTGCGATTTCGCGATTTCGCGTTTTCGTGTTTGTCAGTTACTGCCCACTTCTGTCAATCATTTCGTATCTTTTATCTGATTGGATAATGATAAACAATTTGAAGATAACCTGACTGGATTATATTTTCAAGTACTATTAATTTTTACAACGAGTACTTATGTATTGAATAATATTAATAATAATATCTTTTTTAAGAGATAGTTACTCGTTTGGATTAAACCAATTTTCAGTAAGGCTCTCTACATACAATATCAATTACTTGAATAAAACATAATCAATCTACCAATATGCAAAGATAAACCATATATATTCATATATAAGAAAAAATAAAACAACTATGGTATACATCGTTGTTAAACTTACAATTTAACACTTTGTTAAACATAATTATAATGACTTGAGAAATAGTATTCGAATGCAGATACCAGGGGCGGATCCCCCCCCCCCCCCCCTTGGATCCGCCACTGGATACAGCTTTTGATTTTATAATTTTACTAGATAGTAATTTTAACACTTTTGGACCACTAAAAAACTAAGTTTTCTCCTAGTAACGGGAAGAATTTCAGATTCCTTAAATAGTTCAATAGATCATGGAAGTATTGTATTGACTATAATTCTCCATGAATAAATGAATAAAATTCGTGCAATATGATTCAAATTTTATTTTACAAAGATTATATTCTTCCACATTAGGATTACTGTTGTTCGGTATGGAGAAACTGTAACAAGTTTTTAATTGACAGTTTACTAAAATTGTAAAAAGGTCACGGCTAGAATTATTTTCAACGAACACGATATTTGAAAACCATCTATTGAACTAATTAAGGAAATTGAAATTATTCCCGTTACTAAGAGAATAATATAGCACATAAACATAAATTAACCAAATATTTATTAATCTGTGCCTACAAAAAATAAACAATCATACAATACTCTACTTTCATCATCAGATAATCTTATCGTTCTAAATTAAATACAAAATTATACAAATCAAGTTTTTTCTTTTAGTGGTCCAAAAGTGTGTAATTCACTTTCCCGAGTAAAATTCAAAAATCAAAAACAGTATCTGCATTCGAATACTCTTACAATGAGTCGAGCCCTTTTCAACTGATTTTTATAGTTTGTTCTAATGTTGTGCTGTGACACCACTGTCCCAGGTTATGGGAGGGTTGAGTGATCATAAACATGTTTAATCCCGCCTCATTCTTTAGGTGCATGTCCCAAGTCATAACGAAATCCGAGTTCTATATTTTAATTAGATTGGTGGTTGTCGTTGAATCATGTGTGTTTTTTTTTTGTTTTTTTTTCATAAATTGTTTTGTTATAAATTAGGCCGTTAGTTTTCTCAATTGAATTTTTTTCACATTTTTCATGTTGGGGCCTTTTATAGCCGACTATACGGTATGTTTTTTTCATTGTTGAAGGCCGTACGATTGACCATACTTGCTTACACATCGGTGGATAGTTGTCTCATTGGCAATGTTTATCTTTGCATATTGGTAGATTGATTATGTTTGATTCATGTAGTTAACATTGTATGTAGAGAGCCTTATTAAAAACTGGTTCAATCCAGATGAGTAACTCACTTTAAATAAAGATATTATTATTATTATTATTATTATTATTATTATTATTATTAAATAGATAAGTACTCAATGTAACAATCAATGATACTTGAAAATAATACTATCCAGTCAGGTAATCTTCAAATTGTTTATCATTATCCAATCAGATAAAACTTGATACGAAATGATTGACAGAAGTGGGTGGTAACTGACAAACGCGACATCGCAAAATCACGAAAACACAAAACGCTAAATCGAGAAGTGAAATAATTTTGCGTTTTCGTGTTTTCGACTTCGCGTTTTCGTGTTTCGCATATCGACTTCGGGTTTTCGGGTTTTCGGGTTTTCGGGTTTTCGACTTCGCGTTTTCGCATTTTCGACTTCGTGTTTTTCGCATTTTCGGCTTCGCGCCTTTTCGCCCTATAAGATATGAAAGGCGAAAAGGTGAAATGGCCTTAACCGGCCACCATATATTCATGATGATAAATTAAAGAAAAAAAAAGTGGCAAATGTAGAAATACAAAGTTATTTTTTTATTTGATAGTTAATTGACCATTTGTAGAACGCTTTGTAAGTCATGTGGTTCTGTGTAGTTTTATAGTATATAAGAGCATGAATCAAACAGTCCTTTTCTCGTTTGAATTGTTTTACCAGGCGCGTAGCAACCCGTACGCAAAAATGCAGTTGCGTACACATCGAAAATTTTACAAAAATAAAATTATGGTAAATCTATTAAGAATAAAACTAAAATAATAGATTAAATTAAAAACTATCTTACAAACATGTTAATAATCACTTTGTAGCTATATTCCGTTCCTGAAATTACGTTTTATTTACGGAACCAGCATCGTGATTATGTTGCTGATGCAAACAATATAAATGGTCCTCGAGGTGTCAGAAAACAATTCTATGCCTCCTGACATCTTTTCTGAAGATTTCAAAATAACTGACGAAATAAAATATGTCGTTCTAAAGAGACTATGGACAACGATTCATTCCCATGATTTTCATGTGAGGTATGTATAGTCTTAATTACATACGTCGTCATAACAGATTTTTTTAAACAGTCCAGTCTGACTTAAGTTTAACGGGGTTGATAAAGGGTCATTTTCGTGCATAGTGCTTGCCGTTTTTTTTTTGTTTTGTTTTTTATATTTTTATTTAAATTGACGATCATCGTATTTTGACTTTTTTTTTTATTTTTTACGTTCGGTTGTGCAAGACGGGTGCCTCGTTCAAAGTGTTTCCCCAACTTAATTATACGTGCTTCGAGATTAAAAGTGCTTATTTTCCATGCTTCGAGATTTAAAGTGCTTTTATTCCATGCTTAGTAAAATTAAAAGCCTATTGTTTAGGAAGTTAATAAAAAGAAATCGGAAATAATTTGATGATTTTCCTTATAGATTTGATTCATATGTCGGGACTTAAAACGTATATATTATATACTTGCCAGTTAGAGGTTTCCAACCTATGATATACGTTCATTATAGTACTTTTTTATCAACGTTCATGGACGAAATTATTTCACGTTCACCGTGAAATTGTTATTCCTTCTTTGTATTTAACGTTTTTTCCGCGCAAGTACCACCCTTTACCACCCCTTTTAACCTAAACTAACTAGCAACGAATATTCTTTTAATTTAATTTAATTAAGCTCAACCCACTACACATTAGAAAATCCAAATTCATAAGCCAACAGTACTTGTTTGTTTTTCTCTAATTAATATTTTGTTTTTTTTTCAATTTTTTTTTTCAAAAGTTGACTCTGTTACTCATGAAAATAAGATTTCGGTGAGGTCATTTTAATTCCCAGGAAATTGCGAGAATGCAGGTGCAGGATTTTGCACCTTTTACCCAGAACTTGCCCCAAACCCCTGCCGTTTGACTTCCTCCTTCGGCATTGAGTACACATCATATTGGCCTAGCTACGCCCCTGATTAGAATAGGAATAGCAGTACTGTAGTTGAAGAGTTGCCGTCGTCAATTTGATTTGATGGTTGCAATGTAGATTTACAACAAAACAAGTTTCAGTGGGATTGACAATTGTGGTATTGAAATATAATGAAAGTTTGCAACCGATTGTCATTTCTTAAAAATGTGAGTTAGATACCTTGTGTTCTATTAAGGTATATAGGTCATATTTTTCCTAGACAAGTGCCTGTGTCTTGTTCCCAGTATTTAAGCACTGAGATCGATGAATTCTTAGATGATATTTTCAATTTTTTATAAAATCCAAGGTTACAACTCCTTCATACAATTTCTCTTTTGAATTATTTCACATTTTGTTTTGCCTAGGACTTTTATATCTTGCTATATGGTATATGGTTTTGCTCATTGTTGAAGGCTGTAGTGATCGATAATTGTTTACATCCTCCTCCTTTGGTCTCTGGTGGATAGTTGTCTCATAAGCAATCATACCACATCTCCTTATTTAATATTGCTTTAATACAACAGAACTCTACATTACAATATGTTGATGGTTTCGGTAAAATACAAACAAAAGAAAATGCTTTCAAATTGTTATTTATTAATAACAAATAGTATATGTACATAACTATTATGTATTGAACACTAGGTAAATAACTGACCAATCTATGCTATAATAATAATCATAATTTTGCTCAATATCTTTTTCCCGTAGAAAAGTTGTTCTTCTTTTTACTCTCTAGGTGGATACCACCAAAAAAATATACTTTATAATTTTAGATTTACAAACTCATATGTTTAAACATGATTTATTTTATGAAATGTGATTTGATGTTGCACCAAATTGATAAGCCTGATAATAAAAACTTGTGTTTCTAATACAAAACCCACTACAATTTTTGTTGCCTACCCGTCAATTTTCATTGGAAATATCTTAAACCAGAATTGTTCAAATAAGAATATTTACCTTGAAAAAATTAACTATAAAATTTAAAAATTATAGTTATAAGCTACTGTCCCAAATTTCTATTCATCATGTTTAAAGAAGCATTTTTTTGTTGGACCATATTAAATAAAGATATAATTTATCTACCTTTATACTTGTTGGTATGGAGATTTTAACACCCTTAATTGAAGCAAAGGAGAGAACAGGAAACGTAATTATGTTAAAATCTCTATATCTATGTGTGTAGAGGTAGATGAAAAATTTACACTCAGTTAAAAGTCCTATTATGTTATAAACCAGAATGATATGGCATTTGAGTAGTTAGAATTGCAGCATCACTTACATTCCGTGATGAACCTAGCAGCGATTCAATGCAAAAATATGGTCAGTTTAATCACAATGAGTATGGTTCCTATAGTACTAATATCAGACTAATTCCTTAAAAGAAAACAAAGCATAGCCATTGTGCTTTATCAAAATAATTGTTTGCCGAAGCTGACATTAAGAGCACAAAACAAATAATTTCCCTGACTATAAAAATCTAGCTGGACAAATCACACTAAATGGTAAATCAGATTACTTTGATTTTAAGCTGTGCTTCAATTTTTTTTTAAATATGCACACTTTCTGATAAAAAGTATAAACAAATATGTATTGACCTATAACCTATTATACTTGTATAATTCCATCTAAAGTGCACATTCAAAAATGGATAAACAGTTTTTTTTATGTTCTGAATATGGTATTTGATTGACCCAACATTTTTCTCTAGCAAGGATTGTTAAGTTTTGCTACTCAGTTCTTTACATCTATAACCAAATACATGTACACTGTTGACTTAGTCCTACAAATGTCCATGTAAGGATATACGATATCAGAAAAACAGAGTTGCATCAGCAATATTTTAAAACCAGGGCAATGTATTGTGCAATAATTTCACAAAAGAAGTTTGTGGAAATGTAGATTTCAGCCATTCTTTCTTCTTAGGAATGTTTAACATATGCAAGATTTGTTTTTGCCACAAACAAAGTATAATTTATACCATTGCATAGGTAGCTCATAAAGTCATAATACTACTTAATTTTAGAGCAAAAATTTGTGACAATACTGGTGGTAGTTATGCTACATTTACATAAAGTACATGCAGTTATGATAAAAATACAATGTGGACTCATTACTTGTGAGTTGGGTTTCTGTAAACAATAAAATAAAAGACGAGATAAGAATTCAGAGGATAGAATAAAGAAAGAAAAAAGAAGACAGGAAAAAGTAAGAATTCCTGACATCTAAACTATCCAGTCTTTCTCATTTTCAGTATATGTATATGCATACTTTAAATGCAGATCATATACTATATAAATATTTTTTGGCTGGAAGTTGAGTTTTAAACTCAAATTTAAACAAAAAAAAATCTATTCTGTAGCATGATATCTAAATATCCCTCAATATTAATGACTATGTTCTTAATATGATATCTAAAGCTCTTCTTTAGCACCTTAATGAACCATTTCCAGAAATTACCAATAACATGTCTTTTTTTTTGTATAAGAAATGCATGGCTTTCTTTATCATATTCCTTAATGCAAGCAAATCATATTTTTTCCTTTGGATTGTTTTATTAAAAGATTGTTTCTTATAATCTCAGGGAAGATAACTGATTTCAGTTTCCCATTTTAGTGCATGTAAGAAAATGTTTTAGCATAGCACTTTAAGAGATAATTTTTGGGAAGTGTAACATATTGAACTTTTATAAAAAGTAGGACATACATAAGTTTTAATATGTATCAGAAAAAAACATCATTTACACATCAAGTTTTCTCAAGTAAGTAACAATTAGTATACATCTTGTATTTACATATATAACAGTAAACATAATATAACAAACAAACCAACAGGTGGGTGTGGTCTACAGTACACAGGTGGGCGTCGACATATATTCTTTTAGTTATTATCGAAGGTAACAAGAATTATCATGTTAAGGCAAAATAAAAACAAAAGAATAGTTATCAATTTCTGACCAACCAAAGAAATTCTGCTATCTAAAATTTGCTACTTTCTAAAGCTAATGCTAATGTTAATAATAGACAATTTCTCAATTTTTTCCAGTTATTAAAAAAAAAATCCAACGACAAAAAACAAAACTTTAGAGCACATACAATTACCTATATGACATTTTTTTATATTATAAGATTTCAGGCATAATTTTGCCAAAAAAAAAGAATGGGCTGTACAACATCAAAAGAAAAACTGTTTAATGTCTGAAAGTTAATCACTACTGTGGAATTTATAACAAGAGAAAAAGAATTCAAAACCATATCCATTCCTAAGAGAATGAAAATAAACTTTTAAAATTTAAAAGTAATTGGCATTATAAGTTAAGTTGATGGCAAAATTTTGTATATATGTAACACTCCCAAACGTGTCCATCCCCCCCAAACGTGTCCAATTACCCCAAACGTGTCCTCAAAATCCCAAATTGCCTAAACATGTCCGATTTCTAATCCCCCAAACGTGTCCGATATTTGTTATTCGCTAAAACGTGTCCACTTTAAATCGCCTTAACGTCTCAAAACTTTTAGCGCTATTATGTCTTCAGGTACTTATCGATTATGAATTATAAGGTTGGTATCAGGGATGGTAATGATACATGCAAATTTATTCTTCTTGTTCATGTCTCTTTCGTGATACTCGAACCAAAAATATTTTAAAACTAAAAACTTAATACCAGTACATACTTTGAAGAGCTGATAAAAAATGTGCATCATCTTTTTAACCGTCACATTACGTTAAATCAATTGTGAAAGAGGTAATAATCGACTGACACAAATAATGGATCAACTGATTGCTTAACGTTTTGTGGCAAATTATTTCATACATATTTAAGTCAATAAATTGATTGGTTGTTTGTTGCTTAATGTCCAGTGGCAAATATTTCATGCATATTCAAGACGAGAACATATTTACAATAAATACAATATGTAGATCTATCTCTCCCTACACAAGGCTTAGGATTTAACATCCCCATTCTGACCGGACGTGGCTGCGTACTTTACATACCGCACAGCCGAACGGACGCCCCACTTTGGCAAGGGTTTTACTGTCGGTCGGAAGAAGACCTAAGTGACCATATTTCTATTCTCTAGTCTTACTTGGGAATAGGACAATAGATGAAAGAGTAAAAGGAGTATACGTCATTGAAAGAGCAATAACCAAATTTGTTATTGAAGAACATTATATATTTAATATTGGTGGACATGTTATTGCTATTTGAAGGCAAACAATTAACTTATAATAACTAAATGGGCCTTTAAAAATATGAACAAGATTGAGTGTTCATATAAAGGGGACGTTTAGGCTTTATATGGACATGTTTGGGCGTTCTTAAAAAAAATGACACAAAAAGGCGATCTTAAAAAGGACACGTTTTGGCGCCCTTTAGCACCTAGACATGTTTTGCGGTTCAGTGACGTTATATGGACACGTTTGGGGGAATCGGACACGTTTGGGGGGATGGACACGTTTCTGAGTGTTACATATATGTGGAAAGAAATGAGAATCTACCATATAAATTCATTTTGCCTTAGCATGAAGATAATATAAACATTCAAAAGACAGTTTTTTTTTTATAAATGCTTGTCAGAAAAAGTATGGACATATAATAGATACATTCAGGACTGATACATTTGATACTGAAAGAAAAATATACATCTAAATTGTAACATAATTTTTAGTGTCAATAGGGTAATAATTTTTTTTTTAACACTTAAAATAAAAATAACCTGTAGAATAATGACAACTTTGAATAATATTCATATTCAAATCACAGTATTATCATTATTCACTTATAAGTTCAAAATACAATAATGTCTTTCCTTATCTATTTGGATTAATTTTGAACACATTTAATAAAATCAAAACTAAACATAAAACACAAACTTCACTAGTTTTATAAATACGAATATTTACATCTTGTTATTTATAAATCACTGTTATCACCAGAGATGAAATTCCATACACATCAAATTATTACTGAACAATGTATATATTATACCCAATCCCAGTCTCCTTCGGAAAAATTAAAATGAAAACAAAACTAAAGCAAACCCTTCCAAATGTTACACCATACAAAGTTTTACATGTTAAGGATTGAAACAAATTTAAATTGAATAAATCTAGAAATGAAGGATTAAGGTGGTACCAAACACCTTGACTAAAATTCATTTGGCTCGTTTAATTTTCATAAAATGTTGACAAAATATTTACTTTGACCCTTTGACAAAAATGTAAAAAATTTCAAAAAACTTGAACCACACACTTTATCGGAAAAATTTCATTTGATATTTAGCTGTTTGGCAAACACTAATTTCGATCATTGAGAAGCTTAATATTCCCTTGACAATAGAACGTGATTAAAACGTTCAGCTGGATTTTACAGAGTTATCTCCCTGTAGTGTTATGTACCACCTTAATGCTGTATACATCGTGTGACTGAACACATTCTTTATCCAACACAAATGTAAATACTCAAACACAATGTGAAAATAAAATGCAAATGAACTATTGAATAAATGCTTGAAATAAAAATTTCTGTAAATAGGACTCTTTCGTAAGTATCACAGCAGGAGGTAAGCAATATTCACAGAAATGATCAGAACACTAAAATTCTTTTGTTCAATGTAGCTTTACAAATCAGTCAAACAGATAAATAAATCTGTAAAAAAACATTTGCCAAATCCGAGGATTACTTTATATTACTCTACATTACAGCTTAGGAATGGCACATAATATTCTTTGCCAGGTTAGGATCCACTATCATTTATTATTACTGTTTAAATCAGACTCCTTTTGGAAAAAAAAATTCCACCAGACAAATAATTTTCCACATTAAATGACCACAATGTCCGGAAAGAAAAAACATCAAGGACAATAAAAATGACTGTTGGACTCAAATTTTCAATGCCTTACGCTAAAAAAAATTTATACATAATTTCAAAACATTGTTAAACAAGTTCTTAATCATGACAGTTTAATACAAATTATTGGAAATAATAATTGATAAATCAAAACTGTACATTCAAAGGTCTGTTGTGTTAACATTGCTTATAACTGAATGTCCAATAATGTATAAGTAGCCACTTATGTATACAAGATAAATGGCTATATTTCTACATTACGAGAAAATAGGTTGCCTTTCCCCACTACCATACATTAAGTAGTAAAGAAAAAAGTTGGTCCCAATTTTTATGCATGAAACAGATGACAAATTCATTTTAACCCTATTTCAGGGTACAATCATGAATTATTGTAATGTAAATATCATATGTGAGTTTCAAAATATTCATTTTCTTGTCAGATGATAGATGAAGTTGTATGAATTCTTTCAAAAACTTATTCTAAATCCAGGTAACTGTCTGCATTTAAGAATTTACCACTTTTCAAATATAAAACCTCCTTAATACTTCACCTTTAACATTTTCCTACATTAAAACACACCCTTATTGAATAGCATTAATGAGGTTCTAACTTTTAGCAGTGGTATGTATATAATAGCACTAAATCTACACTTTAATGAGGTAGTTCTAATTATCACATGGTTAATAAAGGCACATCAAACAGATCACATGCTCCTTCAGAATCGTCTAAATTGAAATAATAATCTTTATCACTTGGGGGTGGACTCAATCTGAGAAGTGGTGCAAATGCTGAAAATAATGAGAAAAAATTTATTAAAACAACATTATCACATAATTTAATCAATTAGTTATCAAGGACTTTCACTGAATGCCCTTTTCAAATTAATATAATAGTTTCACTTTCCAAGATCAAAGGCTAGTGTGAAAAGATAAATATGAAATAACTCCTAATTTGTTTATTTCTTAATGTGTCATCTGATAGCCATCAACCCACCTTCAATAAACAATTATTTTAAATGCTTAAGACAATTAGCAATAATTCTTATATGACTTGCATATCTACAAATACTTGAATTGGATTGGTCCGTTAGCATTTTTTTCCTTTAGTTTACACTTCGATAGACCATGTTGCCAAAACTATTTCTTAACCTTCATTGCGATCTATCAATGCGCGATACAGATGCATGGGATCAAGGGGTTTAAGCAAATTGAGATTGAAAAAACAAATACATAACTGTTATCTCTATTCTAATGAATGATAAAATGAAATAATACATTAAAGCTTGGAAAATGCATAAATTTATAATAAAAATAAAATTCCGTGCAATTTCATGAATGAGCATGGCGTATTAACGTCTGATGGGAAAGCTTGACGTCATACAGATGAAAATCTCAAGATGAAGATTATTTTGTTTCTTGTACACTTCAAATTTAAATAATATCTCATTAAAATGAAGTCTTTGAGGTAGGTGTTATTTCATTTAAGATTCTTTTGCATTAATCGAACATTAATGGATTTAAGAAAATCAATATGGCAGCTTACTCCTTAGTTACGAAATGTTAATTGTGCATTTGATGGTAAATACCCGGTAGTAGCCAATGTACCAAAAATAGTTAATTAAAAATTGCAAATGTTTGGGTTAAGAATTATAAGGATTTAACACATTTTTTCTAGAGGTTATTGATGTTTAAACTTGGTCGCTGACTCACAAACTTTACATACAAAGTCCTTCAGACTTTTATTCAGTTTGTGAGTTAATCGCCCCAGTTTACACATCAATAACCTATAGAAAAAATTCGTAAGGGTTCCGCGGAACCCAGTGTCTCGCCTACTTTTTCTGTTAATCGCAGGCTCAACAAAAATGAGGAAGTAAATCAATAAAAATATTCCTCTTGAAACTATCTTTTGATTGTAAGAAGCTTCTGTCCAAGTTTGGTAAAAATCCAGGATAGTTTATGAATCTAATAAATGTTTAAAAACTTTAACTGCAGACTGAATGTAATGTTAACTGGAAGAAAACAAAATTTCCTTCTAGATACTAGCATTTGATCATAAACAAGCTTCTGTCCAAGTTTGGTACAAATCCAAAATAGTATAAGAAAGTTATTAAAATTCTAAAAACTTTAACCACAGAGTGAATGTGTTGTTTCCTGGCAGAAAATCTAAGTCCATTTAAAAGTAAAATACGGAAAAAATGGATTTATTTTTTTACAAAATTTCCTTCTAGATACTAGCTTTTGATCATAAACAAGTTTCTGTCCAAGTTTGGTACAAATCCAAAATAGTATAAGAAAGTTATTAAAATTTTAAAAACTTTAACCACAGAGTGAATGTGTTGTTTCCTGGCAGAAAATCTAAGTCCATTTAAAAGTAAAATAAGGAAAAAATGGATTTTTTTTTTTACAAAATTTACTTCTGGATACTATCTTATGATCATAAACAAGCTTCTGTCCAAGTTTGGTACAAACCCAGGATAGTTTAAGAAAGTTATTAAAATTCTAAAAACTTTAACCACAGAGTGAATGTAATATTTCCCGGCAGAAAAACTAAGTCCATTTATAAGTAAAATACGGAAAAAATGGAATTTTATTTTTACAAAATTTACTTCTGGATACTATCTTATGATCATAAACAAGCTTCTGTCCAAGTTTGGTAGAAATCCAAGATAGTTTAAGAAAGTTATTAAAATTTCAAAAACTTTAACCACAGAGTGAATATTTGTGGACGCCGCCGACGACAACGACGCCGATGGAATTTAGGATCGCTATGTCTCGCTTTTTGGACTAAAGTCGAAGGCTCGACAAAAATGTGTTTAATCCTATAATGTACTTCATCACTTTTTAAAGCAACTGTACTTCTGAAAGAATCTCAGTGAGCAAACAGCAAAAAGTTTATAAAAGGTTCTATGGAACCAAGGGTCTCTCCTGCAATATTAATGCGAGTGGAACACTTATCGTTGGATTTGCGACCTGCTCACCTGCAGGGAAGTTTATGCATCGAAATAGGGACAATATCAACCCCCAAAATATACATGTTAACATTATACAAAATAACAACACAAACTTCACAAATGGGACTTTGAGAAGGGTTTTTTGTCTGATGGCTGTAATGAAAGAGTAAAGGGAGAGAACTCTTACCTTCTGATGACATTAACTCTTCTATCAGGTCACCATCCATACCATCTATATAAAATACAACATAGTTTAATATATCAACACTATCCAATATACAAATGATCACACATCCAAAGAAGAACCATTAAAATATATGAGGATTATAGGGAAGTTTTTTATTATTAATTGTTCTATTGTACCAGGAACTACAACTGTAAGAGCTGTTCCAGAATTAAATGCAAAAGGGGGGGGGGGATTTTTAAGACACCAATCACCCATAAAATCAAAATTTTTATTTTATTTATAATTTTTACAAAATTCTAAGAAAAATGCAACCACCAATATTGAATTAATTTTTAGTACCTCCCATCCCGCCCTCACCCGATAAATTTTGGAACGCCCCAATATAAAATTCCATGGTTTTCAAGTTACTTGTGTTCTTTAAATTAGAGTACCGGTAATCATTCAATATAAAACGATTTTTTCATCGTGTATTTACTTTATCTTCTGATATCAATATAGCCCTCAATTTCATATCATGTGATTGATTACACACGGGGATACATGATTTGATGTTAGGGGGATGCTGCTGAGAATTAGGATTACAGATCCTTGTTTTGACACAAAATTGGCTGTATATTTACCTTTCATATTTTTTATAACTTTTTTTAGGGGAGTGGGGGGGGGGGGGACCTTGATTAGGGAAATTTCTTGGGAGTAGAAGGGAAAACATATACTCCTTGTTCATTAACTTTAAATTAATCCTGCTGTTCATAAAAACCTTATAAAAATAGACTGCTATAAATTGGAACTTATTGTTGATAAAAAGAAACTAGATTCTTTTTTGGCTCAAACTTAGCATGCTTAGATTTTGTGTTCTTAAACATATATAGCATATTGGTTTTTCTTTGCAGCTGTTTTCATATTCATGCAACTGATTAGTTTGGATACCTATCATTAACATCTAATCAAATTTCCATCTACTAAAAGTCAATTCAATTTTTATACATATTTCTTACCTAGATCTGCTCTGGAGGGGTCAAACAGGTCATTTGGATCTAGCAAGTTTGATGTAGAAACTACAAAAAATAAAATGCTATAATGTCATTCTTATCATAACATTCTAAATTACTTTTTACACTGTTAAACAAAATTGTTGGCTTTATTCATTATTGCACAGGGTTGACTCTTCAGCCAGTAAATGCCAGTTTTTCAAAAGCTTTTCAGATTTCTGCAATTCTTCTTTCAAAAAAATAAAGAAATAAACTCTTTACTTACATGGAAGTGCTGATGATGTTGATGGCTGTGGTTGTGTTTTCCGTGGTGATGATCGAGTTGCCATTCTGGATGTATCGATGTCGGCTGCAGGCTGAGACTGCCGTAATGGAGATTTCATGGGTGACCGCACATTCTACAAAAAAATAGATTTTTTTAACCTTATATAGTTCAGTGTTTAATAAATGGAATAAAAATATTCTTATAATCAAACATTGTTGGACTATTGTAAATGGAATCTATTTATATTCTTCATATTTGCAGGTTACTTTATGATTGAAAATGATGTAAAATTCTTCCTATTTGAATAACTTGGGGAAGATTTAAATACATCAATATAAATTACCTGTTAGGAGTTCTGCTCAATGTTCACTATGAACATGTACAATGTATATTCTACAGCCAAATATTTTTAACAGAAATACGGTAAATTTTGTAATATTTTCATTATTGCAAAAAGAAAGTAAAGGGAATGGAAAATTTATATGAAAACAAAAATTCAAATATTTTATTTTTTCGGACTACTAAATTACTAAAACTAATTTAACCACATAGCCTAGGTTAACATTTTCCCTATATAGCCAGATAAAATCAATAAGGGTATTTTCATCCCTTGTGGGAAAAAAAACAGGGGCTGCTTGGAGGATCTTGTTACTTAAGTTTTTCTGGCAATGGATAGAGTAATATTTTTAAATTTAAAAAAATTTGTAAGGGTTCCGCGGAACCCAGTGTCTCGCCTACTTTTGCTGTTAATTGCAGGCTCAACAAAAATGAGGAAAAAAATCAATAAAAATATTCCTTTAGATACTATCTTTTGATTGTAAGAAGCTTCTGTCAAAGTTTGGTATAAATCCAGGATAGTTCATGAATCTAATAAATGTTTTAAAAACTTTAACTGCAGACTGTATTTAATGTTAACTGGAAGAAAAACTAAGTCCATTTATAAGTAAAATACGGATAAACAGGTACAAATTTTAACAAAATTTCCTTCTAGATACTAGCTTTTGATCATAAACAAGCTTCTGTCCAAAATTTGGTACAAATCCAGGATAGTTTAAGAAAGTTATTAAAATTTTAAAAACTTTAACCACAGAGTGAATGTATTGTTTCCTGGCAGAAAAACTAAGTCCATTTATAAGTAAAATACGGAAAAAAAGAAATTTTTTTTTTAACAAATTTACTACTGGATACTATCTTATGATCATAAACAAACTTCTGTCCAAGTTAGGTACAAATCCAGGACAGTTTAAGAAAGTTATTAAAATTTTAAAAACTTTAACCACAGAGTGAATGTATTGTTTCCTGGCAGAAAAACTAAGTCCATTTATAAGTAAAATACGGAAAAAATGAAATTTTTTTTTTAACAAATTTACTTCTGGATATTATCTTATGATCATAAACAAGCTTCTGTCCAAGTTTGGTACAAATCCAGGATAGTTTAAGAAAGTTATTAAATTTTAAAAACTTTAACCACAGAGTGAATGTAATGTTTTCTGGCAGAAAAACTAAGTCCATTTACAAGTAAAATACGGAAAAACAGGAATTTTATTTTTACAAAATTTACTTCTGGATACTATCTTATGATCACAAACAAGCTTCTGTCCAAGTTTGGTAGAAATCCAGGATAGTTTAAGAAAGTTATTAAAATTTCAAAAACTTTTAACCACAGAGTGAATATTTGTGGACGCCGCCGCCACCGCCGACGGAATGTAGGATCGCTATGTCTCGCTTTTTCAACTAAAGTCGAAGGCTCGACAAAAATGGACAATTTCAGAGGAGTGGGTTGGAAAGAAATCTATTAAAGGATTTTAACTGGCCTAAGTCACCCTATAATTCTGAAAAAGTGGACATGCTCTTGGAAAGATCACAATTACAATGAAGATAGGGTACACTTTCTTCATAGAACAATCTTTCCCTGGTATTTTCAGGGTTCAAAATAACAATTTGATTTCGTTGACATCATAATGTAATTAGGTCACTCATACCAAACTATTACTTACCTTTCCCTGTTTATTTGTATTTTTAGGATCAGGATCAACATTTTGATTTTGTGGATCTTCCTGAGGTGGGGGTACCTGTACAACAACAGGACTTGTTTCCTCTGTGTCTTTATTTACTAGCAGAACATTTATGGCACCTGATGTACTTTTAAGATGAATCTGATAGTTCTTTTTATAATTCAGACCCTGAAAAGAAAAGAGAACAGATCTTAGATGATATGATGATCCAAAATATAATTTACCATCCACTCTAGTCATCGTTACACTTGTCTCATGGTGATGATTTCTAAGTTTTCTCCTTTATTTCATACAGTTACATAGATAAATTGGTTATATTTAGTTGTGAATGAAGCCTTCTTATTTTCTTTCATTTCTCAGTTTGTAAAAATACCTCCATAAATGCCTTCATAATAATTTTTCTTAAATCTGTTTTATATGAAATATATAGCATAATTGCATATAACATATACTTATGGCTATTCACTGTACCGGTACATTAAAATATTGAGGACCAATTAAATCCCAAAATTCACCTAAAGTTACTGTAATACTTACCAATTCTGGAATAGGAACTTCTAGTTGTGTACCTGAGGGAGCTTGTATAGCCAGTAATGTATCACCTTTAAAACACCGACAGATATCTTCATGTGTTACATAGGCTAATCTTGTTAGCATTAAGGAAATTTGTTAAATCACAGATTTTTTACCCATTTGGTGCCCCATTATCATTAAATATCCTTTCGATTGAATATTCAATCAAATGCACACTTAGCAATATAAATTGTACAGCTTCTTAAAATGTTATGATATAAATCTGTCCTGATGTATTCCTTTCTTCCTGGTCCAACCTGCAATTGTTCACATCTTTTTTCGTTGGTCTTTATGTACGGATTGGCAATCATAGCACATCGCCTGATTTCATAGTATGGGTGAGATAGTTCCCAGCTAACCCTTTGCAGAGTTTGATTAAAGTGTCAAATTTCTATTAATGATTTTGATATTTTGATGGCATTCCAAAAAGATTATACCTTGCTAGATGATGTATGCAGAAATAACATTTTGTGTGGACCTCAAGAAAAGGGAAACCATATTTGCCAAAATCTTGTTTAAAGTCATCATAGAAACAGGTTCTACACTGCATCATATGGAAGACAGCATTTCTCCCATAAAAAATTACATTTTCCCATATTAAAAAGTTATGATTGCATTGTGGTTTGAAATTTGAAGATTGAACTAGTTTACATGTAAAAATGGATTATCCCACTTCATGCAGTGGTAAAATCTATATATGAATAGAGCAACAATCAGTTCGATTTGATTGATCAGAATCACTATAAACACACTGATATGTCCTACATATAACAGGTTGACCAAATGACAATGATCAAGCAAGATTAAACTCATTAACCATTATCACTGCTTTATCACATCCCTTCACAATTAGAGCATCTTGCCATTTTTTCTTAATGAATGGAGAAAGTTTCAGACACCTGAACCTACTTTTATGGTAAGTAATTAGTTTTGGCATGATGTGGACAAACCACTTATACCATTCAGTCATTTAGGACATCTACAACTCCTAGGTAAAAGGATACCGAGTATTTGTGACTTCATCTGTAACATTTTTTATACTTTGTTGAACCCACAATTTGTGCTGGTCTAATTCTTTTTCCTGTCTGTCTAAATCACTGATTTCATTCTTCAAAGTCATAAGCCTTTCTGATACTTCTGTTCCAGTTGACTGGCTGTAAATGTAGAAAATGTAATTATTGAGTGCTACAATTTTTCTCAGTGTTCTACTTTGAAATTTAGAGAAAAGGGGTGCAGTCCTATATATAAAAGGTTACTGAAGAACGGTAAAAGTGATGCTACCCAAATTTGTACTTGATCTGAGTTTTGTTGTTATAATTATTATGTATAAGTTTCATAACATTTGGTTGAGGCAAACTTAAGTAAGAGAACGGAAACGAAAAATTTAGTAATTTTTCCATTTGTAAAGGGGCATAACTCTAGAACGGTTTAAGTGACACCACCAAAATTCAAACTAGATCTGTGTTTTGTGGTTATAAGCATTGTGTGTAAGTATCACAACATTTGGTTGAGGCAAACTGAAGTCAGAGAACGGAAACAAAACATTCAGCAATTTTTCCATTTGTAAAGGGGTATAACTCTAGAACGATTAAAGTGACGCCACCAAAATTCAAAGTTGATCTGTGTTTTGTCGTAATAAGCATTTTGTATTAGTTTCATAACATTTGGTTGAGGAAAATTAAAGTTAGAGAATGAAACCAACTTTAGGATGTACGTACGTACAAACAGACAAGGGTAAAACTTAATGCCCCCTCCGCTACGGCGGTGACATAAAAATTACTTTAGCTAGAGGCTCTCAAGAGCCTGTATCACTCACCTTGGTCTATGTGCATATTCAACAAAGGACACTTTATCTATTATAATTTTTGAGATATAAGGCAAAAACGCTAAAAATTGGGCCAGGTGAGCTAAAAATTGTAAAATGTGTCATTCAAGGGCAACAACACCTATAAGAAGTTGTCTGTTAGAACAATTGGTAGAGCTCAACATTCTGAACATTTTTGCCCTGTCAGATTTTTTCTATTTATAACGGTTTCAAAATAATAGACAAAACTTGCATTTTACCCCTATGTTCTATTTTTAGCCATGTCGGCCATCTTGGGTGGCAGGCAGGGTCATTGGACACATTTTTTAACTAGATACCCCAAAGATGATTGTGGCCAAGTTTAGATAAATTTGGCCCAGTTTTTTTTTTAGAGGAGAATATTTTTGTAAAAGTTAACAACAACGGACAACGACTACAACGGATGCCAAGTGATGAGAAATAAAAATGACATCATTGATATATTTAGAACAGATCTATTTTTAGATTCATGCACAATTTATGTAATTTTCCAACAAGTATGGTTACATACATGCACATCATTCTGTAACTTTAATATCTTTCTATATATATCATTGATAAAGTTCTTGAAATATTCATGGATAGGAAAGTACAAATAATGAACATTGTGCTCAATGTACAGGGTTTTTTTTTTTAATCTCAAAAAGTCTGAAAAAAGAGTCACAGCTGTTTTTTTAGGAAAAATCCTTCAAGTTGTAAACCAACTTATTAAGATTTTAATGCTTGCTTTTTTCAAATTAAGGTATGTCATATCATTATAGTATGTATGTAAATCTTACTTTTCACAGGACACAGATGTATCTGTAGGGTACCCTGGACATGCTCCTCTGAAAAAATTTAATACTTCTATATGTATACAATTATAATCATGATAATACACTATGATCATTTTTATATTTTTTGAGCAGTTGTATCTACTGTGGATTCATCATTATTCGTTGGATACCAATTTTCGTGGATTTCGTTGGCACAAGTGAACCACAAATTCAAATATTCAACAAATTACAAATTTTATCTATGCTTTGTATGCAGAGATTGGCAAAACCACAAAAATCAAATATCCACGAAAATGCAAGTTTTCCTGATTCCACGAAAAATTGATACCCACGAAAATAAATGAATCTACAGTAACTTACAAATTTTTATTATGGATTAATCTTTTTCAATTCTCATTTGTGATATAAAAAAAAATTGCATGGGTTTTATTACCATATCTTGCACATAATTAATCTCAAGTGGAATTGTACCTGTATTACAATGTCATAAACTTTATAATATTCTCAATCTTGATAAAGCTTCATACTTGTTACTTTTTCAAAAGATTACAATTTACAACTGATTTCAGACATGATTATCTGTTTATTAATTTACTTATCTAATTACACAATGTATTGTATTTGTATTTCAGAGAAAATTGTACAATACTTACTTCCACTGAATGCTATTTTTAGATTTCTTTTCTATCAAACCAATACCCTCTAACACGTTTGTTATGTCATAAATTCTTCTCTTTTGCCTGACTGCTAATTGGTCAGCTGCCTGTATATATAAAAAAAGAAAATATATATACCCATACATACATTTTTGTACATTTATAAAACTTTAGGATACTACAGATATCTGGCCCAGTTCTTTAAATGTTGCCAAAAGATAAAGTAAATCACTAAAGAATTTGAAATTATTGCCAAGCTATTCTTACCAATTGATTTCTGATCTATTCAAAAACTGGCCAAAAATCTTTAAAAGGTAGGCAGCTAAAATATTTCTACAAACAGCACAGATAAATAACTAAAGCTTTCAAAAGTTTAAGACTATTAGATTCAAATTGACTTAAAACTTTCAATTGGGTTTATAAATTTCTATTGATCATTATTTAATAAGAAGAGTCCCTTTAAAAGGTTAAATATTCATACTGATGCAATGAAAGTCACGATATTTGACTACCTAGCAGTGTTCTAGAATTCCCCTTTCCCGACACATGTACATTGTAGCAAGTTGATTTAGGTCACAGGAAAGTGGAAATTCAAACCTTTGTTGTCCGTGGCCAAGTAAAATTAAATTACAGAAACTTCCTATTCATACAGATCAAACGATCGATGTAACTGTTTGTATTCTTTTATTTCAATCAAAATCTCAAAGCGATATCGTTGTTGTTGGTGTAAATCATGCAGGGGTTCTAAAGTCTAGGGGAGAAAAACGTGGGCATGTGTTTCGCGATCACCATCATAAATATGCTTGCCAACTAAGCAAGGAAAATCTGTGAGGTCAAGTATCCATCTGATCTAGACGCAAAAACCTATTAACCGGAACGCTAACGGTTAAAGATTTAATATCCGGATCTCAAATTCATGATTTTTTTGCGTGTAATGTTTGACGATATTATCCCTTTTTTATGTGATAAAAGGAATAACAAAATTATGAAAACATTTATAAAATAGTATAAAATTCAGGGAAAGTTCAGTTAACTTGTGGGAAAGTGAATTTACTTGGAAAGTTGCATATGTATAAAAATCCTAGAACACTGCCAAGAATAACGGAAAGTTCTAATCTAATGAACCCATGCACAAATACTGTCTATACTGAATTTGTAATAAATATAACATTGACTTGTATAATAATCATGAGAATGTAAATTTTTATTTAGCAGGTTGGTTTAAAAAAAGTAGAAAGCATGGATCTGGGGACAGTGTCAGTTGTCCATTTTTTAGAACAAAACATATTGCAATGTATTAAACTTTAACAAAAACTAATTTTAAAATTTGGTAAATAATATATAATTGCAAAACATTTCATGCCATTAAAAGTTTTGGATGATTGATGATTAAGGATTATTCATCAGAAATTAAAATTTAAAAAATAAAGGAACATACGTATGAATTTTTATCAAGGTAAAGTTAGCCTCTTTGCATACTGGTGTACCATACATAATTTACATTTTGTACAAACATCATTGTACATGTAGACCAATTTTGAGTTCTTCTTGGAGAATGTCATCATTGAACAATTGGCTCTCACTGTGATGTAATAACATAAGCAATGTGACATTTGAAATTTAAGGGAAAGTCCTCTACTGACTTGCATGTAACTAATCTGCTCCTTGAGGGCGCTGTGTCAGATTAGCAAAATAAATATTTTTAACTGTATTACATTGTAATTCCATTTCAACATACAAATGTCTCTTGTTAAGTCATGTTATTTTTATTAAGGACATTTTAACATGTACAACAAACATTCAAATAAAAATAAAGGGAGATAACAATTTGACAGTGATTGAATATTTTGGAGAAATAAAGGAAATGTTGCAGACTAGTTTCAGAGTATATTCAAAAGGCCTTCTTAAATGTTATATTTGAACATTATTGGTTGTGATCACGTGCTATATTTTCCCCCTATTATTACTATTAGAAAAACCTATAAAAAAAATTGAATTCCTTTCAAATGACATGGACAATAAGCAATTCTATGAGCTGACTTTCAAAGAGCACTTATTTCAAACTCACAACTTTGAGATCAAGCACTCCATCTTTAGCTTCTTGCAGCAAAGAAACAAATTTGGTAGTCAGCAGTCCAAGGCTTTTTTCGTGACGGCTTGGTGTATTATCTGCCATCAGACCCTGAAACTCCATGGTTCTTTCATGTGTAACAACGCGTGAAAATATCTGGGTCATGCAGGTATGTCAGTAAACCAAAAACCAAAGCCGGTAAAATTTTCCATTATTCGGAAAAGGTAACTGTTTCCTAACGAATAAACTAAGTTTAATAATCGATCAAAATTACTATAAGCTGAAAATTTATTATATATATCGGTTATAACCTCAAAAAATAGTGCTACGGAATGCAAGAACATTTTAAAGGAACAGAGATGTTAAGACATGTTAGTGAAAATTTTAGAACGCAACAATTTCTTCATCATTCAAGTGTTTAATTCTATCACGGATACGATTTGCCAGCATCATGTCATCAACAGTTCAGACCATACGGCTATATGGTATTTATTTTGACAGCTAATAATTTTCAGTTATTTAGATATACAAATTTTTAATTTTACATTAATTACAATAAGACATACAATCACGTATGCACTATTTTTGCAACTTGCTTCAACAAAACTCTTACTATATACAAATCCTTGATTAGACTACTACAGTCTACACTGTTAGATGTACAGTATATGCATGTATGTAACAGCCTTAATTTGACTTTGTAGTGCATTAAAATCGTTTAGGCGATTAACATGGATACTATACCAAACCTGCTTTTCTCCCATTAGGGTTATGTTTTTCATTACCGGATACCCACATACAGGGTTATAACTTATGTTTCTCAATACCGGAAACCCACATACAGGGTTATAACTTATGTTTCTCATCACCGGATACCCACATACAATGATTATCATGAATCACGATTATTATGAAGTCCGAGAAATTTTTGCATGTCTATGGTTATTTACTGACATGTGCAAGACAACTCTGAGGTAGCAACTTGGACTGCAAATAAGTCACCTCAGACCGTCTTTAAAGCCAACTCAGACAAAGTTTTAAAGGAGAATTTTGACCATTTAAGTTATTTAATGAGTGCCTACGATGAAAAAGGCAAATCAGACTTTGTCTGAAGAGAAGTAATTATATAAGACTGGCAGCAAGTTAACTCCAATCGTCTATAATGCAAACTCAGACAAAAAGTATATAGGGAGAGTTTTGATGAATTTTTTGTGTGTCTACGACGAAAAAGACAACTCAGACCTCTATGAAGAGATGTCCGAACACCTTTAAAGACAATTCAAAATCACCTTTAGATTCACATGAAACAAATTTTTTTGATAATGTTTTGCAAATTCATCTACATTTAAATGATACTTTCATGTATAATCATGATAATACATGTATAACATTGAATCATTTATAATTATTCAAATAGATCAAACCCTCTTTTAATTCTTAATCTGATGAGTGGCATTATAGATGGTCCGAGTTGACTTTATAGAAGGTCTGAGTTGACATATTAGTCAGTCCAAGTTGTCCCATATTTTTATGGTTCCATGTGCTGATGTCAACAATTTCCCAAATGATTGTTCCGTGTGCTTGATGGAAGGCTCAGTAAATTTTAATATGAAAATCTGAACAACTTAATGAAAACCAACAGCAATCCAAACAATCTTCAAAACAAGTTGGCTAACCATATAAGAATAAGGAGATGTGGTATGATTGCTGATGAGACAACTATCCACCAAAGTTCAGATGAAGTGCCAGTGGATATAAGTTATTAGAGGCAACTGTACAGCCTTCCGATGTTTTTATTTGAAACCATGATTTCCGGTAAATTCACCTTTAACATAATTATTTGCTCTTGAAATTAGGCAGGTTCTACCTGATGAGCTTCTTTGGTTCTTTGTGCATGTTTGTTTTAATTATCTACCTTTCATGAATCGGGATGCAGAAAATCGTTTATGCTCCTATGATGTTTGCTGAAAATCCTGAAAAAAACACAAAAATTTGAGAGTTTTATTGCCCACCATGTTCAATGATGTTGCTCAGCCTACCTTGTTGCTGTCAAAAGGTCTTTCAGTACCATAATGGTAGAGACCAAAATCAACCATTCTGCCAATTAAGCTTCCTTTCAGGAGGTGGAATGAAAGACTTTATATGATATATGGTAGATGTGATTTTAGGCTACTACCTGTATAAAAGAATTTGGAAGGCTGATTTATCAAACAGACAGATTAACCTGACTCAACTGTATACTTATAATGCTTCACCACTGGCTGAAATAATGATTTAATCATTTAGCAATGTATATTAAAGTTAACATTGTGACTTGGATGGAGAGTTGTCTCATTGGCACTATATAACATCTTCTTACTTATATTAATAATAATAGATATTATCATTTTAATCATATGTTTATCAATTTATGTTGAAACATTTGATATACTTTACAAAACTAAAATAAACCTGATATATATAATATATTAATTTTATAGTTATAACCAACAATAATGTTTATAGTACAGTGTAAATGTATTTCAAGTATTCCATTGAAGAGACCAGAGTTATATATATATGTTTAAAAATCTAGGATGCAATAAAATACTTTACATGTGTCAATATATGGGTAATCCATTAATTATTGTCACTAAATCACTAAATTAAATCATAAACAAATGACATTATTCATCTATATTAGTTAATTAACAAATCAGTTTTCCTTGGTTGCTAGAAATGGGACATACCTGTATATAACCATGGTGGGTTAAAGTTATCTAAGATGAGTTAATGTAATCTTAGTCTGAGATGAAAAGAAAATGTTAAAAACTTCCAGAGTACTAAGAATATAAAATAAGGAGATGTAGTATGATTGTCAATGAGACAACTATCCACATGATCCAACAGAGTCCAAATGATGTGGATTTAAGCAATTATAGTGCACCATACAACCTTCAACTGTGAGTTAAACCAGGTTTTCCCTCAATGTATAGTCAGCTATATAAGGAGCAGACATGAAAAAATGTAAAACAATTCAAACAAAAAAAGTAATGGCCTGATTTACAAAATGATTTATGACAAAACAATACACGAAAAACAGATATTACAGACAGCAATCAAAGCAATCAGGGAATTATAGGCTTGTGACTTGGGACAGGGATCAATAAAATGTGACTGGGTTAAACATCCCTCAACACCCCCCCCCCCCCCCCCCCCCCCCCTTACCTTGGACAATGGTGCAACAGCACAAAGAAGCATATTTGTAAAAAAAACATTCATCTACTTTCATTTTTATTTCCAGATTGAATGATGTTACTAGAAAAAATGGGTTCTATTAAGGTTCCTCGATTAGATTTGGAAGAGTTTGGACATCAAGTTGACAATTCTACATCTACCATTCAGCGTCTCTACCAGCTCTACTGTGATCCTGTGTTAAGTGACTTACAGCTTATTGTGGGCGAAAAATCATATTTTGCCCATAAATTGATATTGAGTATAAGTAGCGATGTTTTCAAAACAATGTTGACAAGTCCTACTTGGCCAGAAGCGTATACTGATAAAATTTATTTGGAAGAGGAACCACAGTGTGGACTTGTTTTTGAAGATTTTCTTCAGTATTTGTACACAGGAAAGATTCACTTGAGTCATACAAGTGTTTTACCAGTAATAATTCTGGCTGATAAATATAATATTAGTGACTTATCAGCCGTTTGCGTAGAATACATGTGTAATCATTTAATTGCACCAAGGATGGAAAGCTGTGTGTTATCTTGGCTGAACTACTCTGTTATGTGTAACCATAGAAACTTGGAAAAAGTATGTGAAAGTTATATCAGTGCAAATTTTCAGTATGTCATGGAAACTGATGAATTCTTAACAATATCTTCTGATTTGTTATTGAAGTTTTTGAAATCATCAGACATTGTTATAACCAGTGAAATATCACTATACCACTATGCGATGAAATGGGTGGAGAAGAACATTCTACCTTCCATCAAACCAGAGACTTATTCACCTGAAAATCTGAACTTGTTAAAGCATATAGTTTCAGCAATAAGGCAATGTCTTATGTCAAGCGAAGATCTGTTATTACTTCAGAGTGGTACAAAGCAAATAGCTGAATATTTACGCAAGGTAACGGGGGTTAGCTGCTTTCCCGAAACCAAAAGCGAAGAATACCAAAATTTAAAATCACCTGTCTCAACGTTGATTAAGACAACAGAGAGTAATACTTCCCCAAGGATATATACTTGTGATGCATGGTGTACTGAAATTAGGGTACCTAGTATTAATGAGGTTCAACCAGGGGAAATATTGGGAGCATTCTACTCTACACCAAGTTCTTTTAATGCTGACAGTGATGAAAGCTGGGATTGGCATATTGACCTATATCCCAGGGGTGTTTTGTTTCGTGGTTGTATGATGATTGGTCACTATGGTAACCATAGTATTGATGAGGTGATCTATGAAAGAGTCCGTCTGGCTGTTTCGTCAAATTCATCTGATTGCAGATCTGTGAAAGTGACTGTGTTAGTTTATGGCCTTCAGAATGGTGTTGAATATGTTGTAAAGGCAATAACAAAGACATGTCTTTTCACTTCAGAACATGTAATCCACCATGTCAATGACCTTGTGGCTTTCAGTGACCTTGAATCTAAACAGTCTCCATTCCTTTTAGGTGAAGATCATAATGAATTTAAAATCAAAATAATTATCAGGCCTTTTAGTTCTCTAATAACATGAATTAAACATGTTAACGGTAATACAATGAAGTGATCTAATCATTTGTTAATGTGATCCCAGTTGTCATGGTTGTTATTTTTTCATTCTGATTAAAATACAGATCCTGTGACCAAGCTTTGCTTTCAGGGATCTGACAACAGTCCATTTCACTTCTTGTTCTGGAAATAATTGGATCAGCTGATGAAATTTCAGCCTTCAAGTTTTTGAAGGTGTGTATCATTCTGATAAAACCAGAGGATACCAAAAGGTCTTTAAAACAGAAAGTAGAACTGAGCATTTTCATATCCTTGTAAGCAAAGCTTGGACACTGATCTGTATTTTAATCAGATTGTTATTTTTTAGAATTAATATGTATCCATTGTCAGAGCTCAGACATTAATAAGTCTAAATCTGCTTTTGACTCATAGAGGTCTAAATTTGTAGGTTTCAAGATTTGTCTCCCTTTAATTTAAGACAAATTATGACTTCAATAAGTCAATTACCGGTAGTGTTAAGCAAGAAATATTTTACCAGAATTAAAAAGTTGCAAATATTGACTCCTACAAGTCGATAATTTACCAAAATTGGTCGACTTCAAGACCCAAGCATATTTATAAAAAGGTCATGCATCTACATGAAATTATGACAACATTGAAAGACAATGCTTTGTCGTCTAAAGGAAAATATGCATGAGAGCCTAAAAAAACGGAGATAATGTTTATTTACTTTACAATGCAACCATTTATAACCACACAAAATGAGGAAAATAATCTTATGTTAAGTAAAAATGTTCAATTAGATAATTAAATATAGATAGCTCAGGTCCTTGTGAACTCTCAGACAGGTTTATGATGTCATAGGTGGTGCACTTTGGCCACCAATTAAAATTAAGTCTTTTCATAAACATACATGTAAATAGACCTAAACAAGTCTGTCATTTTCTGACTTAAATAAGTCTGAAAATGAAAACACAATTTTATAATAAATACATTTTTTGACTTCTGTAAGTCAAAAACAAAAAACGACTTGTTTATGTCTGAGCTCTGACTTGTATTAGGCATTTACCATCATGACCATGTTTACAGTATATTTAAAAATGTTTTGTTTGATTGAAAGGTATTATTTTATGGATGATGTACATGTTGAGTTGCCATAATTGTATTAGCATGATTAGAGGAGCACATAATATTTTTATACGACCGCAAAAAATTTTTGCGGTCGTATATTGGTATGATGTTGGCGTCGTCGTCGTCCGAAGACACATTGGTTTTTGCACTCTAACTTTAGTTTAAGTGAATGGATCTCTTTGAAATTTTACCATAAGGTTCAATACCACAAAAGCAAGGTGGGGATTGATTTTGGGGGTTATGGTACCAACAGTTAAGGAATTAGGGGCCAAAAATAAGCATTTTCTAGTTTCCAGACAATAACTGTGGAACGGTGTATGGATCTCTCTGAAATTATATTACAAGTTTCCATACCACAAAGGGATGGTTAGGATTTGCTTTGGGGGGTTATGGCTCAAACCGTTTAGGAATTAGGGGCATAAAAGGGGGAAAAACAAGGTTGTCCTGGTTAATGGACAAATACTTTTAGTACAAAACATAATTTAAAGCAGTGTAAGGGAGATATATCAAATACATCATTGAAATTATCTCCCTTACACTGCTTTTAAATTATGTATATAAGGTAATGGTTAATGAACAATTAAGATAATTTAAAACAGTGTAAGGGAGGTAATCCAAATACAACATTTTGGTTACTTCCCTTACACTGCTTTTGAATTATGTTTAAAGAAATGCATATTTATAAAGGAAGACCAGTAAAAATATCTGCAAATGTTGCATCTTTTTTTTACAAAAAAATGCATATGAAAGATTTGACACTATATTTTAAATTCTATTATAAATAGATTAAGTTAGCACTATGGTAAATTTAAATGGGTAATTATGGTTGCAAACTCCATTGGAAATTTGAATTGAGATTATGACCATATCTTGAGGGAAAGAATTTTTTGGGGAAAAAAAGGGGGGGGGGGGGTAAAAAGAAATTGTGGGGGGTCATTTTTTTCTCATTTCAGATTTCAGAGATTAAAAAGAATTATTCTTCAAATATTATTTTTTTTTCAAATTTCAAATATTGAAAAATTTCAAGAAGTAATCTTTAATTGCACAGTATGGCGCATTAGATTTGTAAAATCTTTGACCACATTTATTTATTTGTAATGCCGAATCTAACCGTGTATTTAAATTCTTAATTTTGGGTCCAGTTTTCAAATTGGTCTACATTAAGCTCCAAAGGGTCCAAAATTAAACTTTGTTTGATTTGAACAAAAATTGAATATATGGGGTTCTTTGATATGCTGAATCTAAACATGAATTGAGATTTTTGATTTTTGGCCCAGTTTTCAAGTTGGTCCAAATTAGGGTCCAAAATTAAACTTTGTTTGATTTCAACAAAAATTGAATATATGGGGTTCTTTGATATGCTGAATCTAACCATGTATTTAGATTTTTTAATTGTGGACCCCGCTATCAAATTGGTTCATATTGAGGTCAAAAGGGTCCAAAATTAAACTTCGTTTGATTTCATCAAAAATTGAATAAATGGGGTTCTTTGATATGCCAAGTCTAACCGTGTTTTTAGATTTTTAATTTTGGGTCCTGTTTTTTAAATTGGTCTACATTAAGGTCTAAAGGGTCCAAAATTAAACTTAGTTTGATTTTAACAAAAATTGAATTCTTGGGGTTCTTTGATATGCTGAATCTAAACATGTGTTTAGATTTTTGATTATGGGCCCAGTTTTCAAGTTGGTCCATGTTGGGGTCCAAAATAAAACTTTGTTTGATTTCAACAAAAATTGAATATATGGGGTTCTTTGATATGCTGAATCTAAACATGTATTTAGATTTTAGATTTTTGGCCTAGTTTTCAAGTTGGTCCAAATTGGGGTCCAAAATTAAACTTTGTTTGATTTCAACAAAAATTGAATATATGGAGTTCTTTGATATGCTGAATCTAACCATGTATTTAGATTTTTTATTTGTGGGCCCGCTATCAAATTGGTTCATATTGAGGTCAAAAGGGTCCAAAATTAAACTTTGTTTGATTTCATCAAAAATTGAATTAATGGGGTTCTTTGATATGCCAAATCTAACTGTGTTTTTATAGATTTTTAATTTTGGGTCCTGTTTTTTAAATTGGTCTACATTAAGGTCCAAAGGGTCCAAAATTAAACTTAGTTTGATTTTAACAAAAATTGAATTCTTGGGGTTCTTTGATATGCTGAATCTAAACATGTGTTTAGATTTTTGATTATGGGCCCAGTTTTCAAGTTGGTCCAAGTTAGGGTCCAAAATTAAACTTTGTTTGATTTCAACAAAAATTGAATATATGGGGTTCTTTGATATGCTGAATCTAACCATGTATTTTGATTTTGGACATTGGACCATAATAGGTAAATTAAAAAAATTCAAGTTCTTAGACCACATTCTTTCTGTGTCAGAAACCTATGCTGTGTCAAATATTTAATCACAATCCAAATTCAGAGCTGTATCAAGCTTGAATGTTGTGTCCATACTTGCCCCAACTGTTCAGGGTTCGACCTCTGCGGTCGTATCAAGCAGCGCCCAGCGAAGCATTTTATTAAGTTACTTGTTATATTGTTTCTTTACAAGAGATTTGTTTGTATATAATATCTTATTTTTTTTTTTTGATAACATCCAGTCTTCAGTGTTTATTACTACAGTGTGATATATATATTTGCATGATACTTTTATAAGTTTGTAATACATCTATAAATAGTTTGCATGAGAAAAAAGAGCTTTTAAAGAAATTTCATAGTTTTTGGACATACAGACTTAAAAGCTTCTTTATAACCCATATTTCCCCATTTAACATAGCATGCATGTGAATCATGAATCAGTGAAGTAACATGCATGTTCTGTTTCATGCTTTGAGAAGAATAAATGCAAAATAGTGTACTTAAAGCAAGGCAAATACTCAAGTTTGTTTTATATACAATCATGTTATACAGTCATTGACAGTGAAACCAAATCTGAAGTATACTCCCAATAAAAAAACCAGAAAAGTTATATGCAGTTCAAGTTATGGTCTTCAACAATAGGCAAGTATGTGAATTTACACAATATGTAAATAGATATACACTTTAAAAGATATCAGTTATAATATAAAAATAATTTAAAATATCAGATCTGCCTAGCAATTTCTTCTTGTTTGACAATACTTTTGAAATTTTATTGTACCCTTTGAGAATGGAATTTTTTATCAATGCCTAATAACAACATGAACAAGTGATGTTTACTATGGCATAGCATAAAATTTTCGGTCCTTATGCCATTATCCTGGAGAACAATATTTGACCATTAGACTTGTTAAGAGGGCCAGTATTATTTTACTTGGAAGTTTGCAATATTTTTGTCTTAATTACTAGCATGACTTGTAATTAAAATATTGAGCTTTTTAAAATGTATGTATGTTATATAATACAATAAATTTCTAACTATAATCATGAATGTTATAAGAAAATAAGCTAGATTTTGTCTCGCCTGCAATGATAGTCAAAGAATGCAAGACATAGGGATGCTTATCCTGCTGCAGGGTTGACAATATGTATAAAGCTTTATATTTCAGAGGGTAGAAGAACTGGATGCTTCATACATGTACCCCATATACAGATGTCCTACATGTATGTTACAAAGTTTCCTTCTGTTATACAATGTATCATATGTACAATGTCCTTGACCTCAATTTCATGGTTCTGCAACTGCTTAAAAAACTTGTTTATTGATTTGTCATGTAAATTTATCTGTTTATTATTATTATGGATAATATGATAATTTTATTTGGTATATGGGATAAATTGTACTTGCCAGATGTACATGTCTGTCACTAACCATGAAAACTTCACATTGACTAATGAATCACGAAAATGAGATCAAGGTCAGACGAAAATAGCCAAACTGTTATGTACACCTTACAATCATTCCATACACCAAAGGAGCGGTGATAATGTAAAGTTGTTGTTATACTATTTGGGAAAACCTTTATCTTGAAGAATTTCAACATAAATTCAATCATGACCAATAAAGCAGACAAGACATTTCAGTTTGTGCACTCTTGTTTTATTGATTTGCTAAAAGTATTATTTATATATATATATTAAAATGGAAAAATATATTATTGTTTAATTGTCCAGTGAGCGTTTATATATTTGTGTATAATATATGTAATATAATGTAATCAGAAAATGGTGTGAAACATAGCAAAAAATTTGCTAATGAACAATCCATGCATATGCATTACACTATGTAAACTGTGTCCTCTACAAAATATGCGTTCCCATTCTCGTTGTACTGTGACTTCTAATTTGGAACACCAAAGGTACAATAAATGCTTAAAGGCACAGAATACAGATTCTTCCTAAAACTAATAAAGGTCAAATGAGAATTAACCCTATATTATCTCAAAGCCATCTGCCAAAATGAAACACAGTAAAGTTACTTTGCATTTGTTGAACATATAGTCATAATTGCTATTTAAACTGGAGTGAAATGATCACAAAGTCACAGAACACTTGCCAACTAACCAACAATGTACATTACATGTCAAAGTATACAACAATATCATGGATCATGCTTGTTTTATATCAAAGATAAAAACTTTTGAAAAGGGGTTAAATTCATGCTTTGGCATTTGTAACATCCTTTTCTTAATAAATTTTCCAAATTTGAGACACAATCAGACGTTCAGACAATACACCAAGATACTTTTTGATTCATTATTTATTTAATGCAAAAATTAAATTAATGTACATCTATGCAAAATTCATTCTGTAATAGATAATATTTCAGTGGTTGTCGTTTGTTAATGTGTTACATATTTGTTATTCGTTCATTTTTTGGACATAAATTAGGCCGTTAGTTTTCTCGTTTGAATTGTTTTACATTGTCATTTCGGGGCCTTTTATAGCTGACTGTGCGGTATGGGCTTTGCTCATTGTTGAAGTCCGTACGGTGACCTGTAGTTGTTAATTTCTGTGTCATTTGGTCTCTTGTGGAGAGTTGTCTCATTGGCAATCATACCACATCTTCTTTTTTATAAATATCATAAAAAAGTGAATAATTAATTTGGAAAAAAAATTAAAAAATACCAAACCGAGTGTCATGTCTTTTTCTAAAATGGAAGTCAAAGTACACTGATACAGTGAAGGCATATTTAATTGAGGACACTATTTACATAGTGTGTGTGCACATGTACATGTACATGTAATTGTGCATGTGGCAGTTTACTGTAAAGAATTTTTTGACAAGGGGAGATAATTTTAA